TAATTAAATATTATAAGATAGCATTTCAATTAATAAATAATAAATATAGTATGATAAATTAATAAACATAACATATTATATAATCAAGTGATGTATAGCATAACAAATTTAATAATATAATAGCTTAATTAAACCTAAATTAATCACACATTTGTATTGATCATTTATTACAATAAACCCTCATACCACTATGAATTTATAGGTGTTGATACAAAATATACATATAGACAGTAATGATAATATATATATATATAACAAATTAATCACACATATGTATTGATCATATATTACAATAGATTGTCATTCCACTATAAATTTATGGGTGTTGATACAAAATATATATGTAAACATTTACAATATTTATGATAATTTATGTAATGATAATAAATATATGATAACCTATAATTTTGGTAATTTCATAACATATTTAACATATATATAATAAATTAATTACACATATGTATTGATCATATATTACAATAGACTTTCATTCCACTATAAATTTATGGGTGTTGATACAAAATATATATGTAAACATTTAAAATATTTATGATAATTTATGTAATGATAATAAATATATGATAACCTGTAATTTTGGTAATTTCATAACATATTTAACCTATGATTAATATATGTATGATAATAATTTTGTATATACATAATTACACATTATATATAACAAATTAATCACACGTATGTATTGATCATATATTATAATAGACCCTCATTTTACTATGAATTTATGGGTGTTTATATAAAATATATATGTAAACATTTAAAATATTTACAATAATTTATGTAATGATAATAAATATATGATAATCTATAATTTTGATAATTTCATAACATATTAAACATATTTAATTTATGATTAATATATGGGTGATAATAATTTTGTACATACTATATAGTGGCATGTTCACTCCTTGGAATCCTTTTGGTTGTGCTGTAATGTCTATGCAAAATGCAAATTCCTTTTGTTTGTGTCATATTTGATATGGAACTAAATTTGTTTTGAACGATTTATTGTTCTGTTTAATTTATTTTGAAGTTTTATTATTTATGATGGTTATTTATTTTAATTTACTGAGTTTTTATTAATTTAATTAAAATATAAATATAGATAGAGAGTTGGTTTATTTTCAAATATTGAATTAAATTGGTATGAATTATAAATTGTTGCATATTTGTTTTTTAGAGCATGAATTGGAAAGTTGTTGTATATTTTTTATTCGAACATGTATTCGAACGAGTTATTCGAACATGTATTTACAAGTTATCGAACGAGTTATTCGAACAGGTATTTATGAGTTAGTCGAACGAATTACGAATGAACACGAACGAGCTTTTTGTTAATCGAACGAACACGAACACACATCCTGTGTTCGTTCGAACATGAACACGAACACGAACAATCGAACATGCTTATCGAACAATTTTTGAACAGGCTTGTTCGTTCATGTTCGGTTCGATTGTCGGCCTACACTCAAGTAGTCAAGTGGGGTCTTTTAAATATTTTGTAAGGGTTATAATGATATTTTACATAATAGATTATGTGTAAAATATCAACTTGTCCCATATACAGTATAAAACAATTCACTCGAGAAAGATTAATATCGTTATATTGTACTCGTGCATTGTAAGAGTCTTAATCACTTAAATTTATTGGTCAGTTTTCCAAAAAACCATTTTTTAACTGGTTAACATTATATATTTTTTTGCTTTTTATATACACTAAATATATTTTTGAAATTTCATATTTAACACTTTATTCTTTCAAAAAAAAAAAAGAACCAAAAAATCCTAATATTATACATTTCATTCTTAAATCAAAAGCTTTTTGTCCTTTTCATGGAAGCAATAGTATTAATAAGTATAGAAGACAAGAGTAGAAATGTTAAAAAATCTTGTGAAAGGTCTCCGTCATAAAGTCATTTGAAAGTTGATTATTTTCTAATTGGAAATTTTAAAAAAGGTTAACTAACTAAATTTTGCATAAGAAAATGCCGTGTTACCTTAAAAATTTTGGCGATGTTCCGGCTCAATATGGACTCTCTCAAAAGAGGCCCAGAAGTTCATCACCACAGGCCCAAAAGGAATAGATCTATATTCAGAACTGACATCAGATGTTGGCCTTTTTGACATCATTAGTGCAGTAATTTTTTTAATTAATTAATCATATTTTCTTAAAAAAATAAAAGTAATAAATAAAAAGGGGAAGAATATATAAAAGTAAATAAAAATCAGACGAGAATCTACTCAAAACCACAGCCATTGGCATTTGGGATTTGAAAAAAGCAAAAAGATATTCTCACGGATATCCATGAATTTTCTTTTCCCATTTTTATTTTTCTTCTAATAAAATAAAGAAGAAAAGGTAAGATAGTACATTAATCATGATTAATAATAAATGTTAAAAGTAATTAAAGTTATTATTAATTAACTCTGTAGATACACGTGCTGGTGACGGCGTTGTAAGGATGGACCAAATATTAGCTATCTATATTTTCTTTATAAAATGTTCATGTAGGTCTCTTTTAAAATCAAAATTATACAAATTAAACAATTTAATAAAAAAAAAAAGTTTGTTTGCACCTATAATCTTAAACATTTCAATACCATCGAATTCCTGAATCGGACAAAAGAAAAGTTGAAAAAAAAAAAAAAGATCTAGAACACAAACCAACTAAGAGTTAGTCGAATAGTAAAGGCTTAGGGCCAAGAGATTTGTATTCCCTGTGGTCTCAGATTCGAATCACAAAAACGGTTGTTAATTTTGTTAGTACGAACCATAAGGTTTGCCCTATTTCAAAAACTGTTCGGAGTAGTTAAGGACTAATCGAGGTGTCGTAAGTTGGTTTGAACACCCTCATAACCCAAAAAAAAAAAAAAAAAAAAAAAAAAAAAAAAACAAAACAAAACCCTTAAACATGAACAAAGAAAGGCATGAGAAAAAAAATATATTAGCTAGTAATTGGGTAATTGTGAGGCCAGGCCGCAATTATTTTATTTCAAGAGACATTTTTTTTCTAAATAGTTATTATTTTCAATAATTTGGTATTATAAATATTTTATACAAATTTATAACATAAAATTTTCTCTTTGTTATTGTATCAGAATTGTAGTGACAAACGACATTCTTTGTGGTATTTTCTCTTGTATTAGAGAAACTATAATACACTGACACTTTCTGTCTCAATATACTAAATTTACGTTAACACTATCGTGGTATCAATGTATTATATATACATGTTGACACCATTTTTTGATGTCGGGATTAACATCAACATATATGACTTTTTTGATAATATTGATTCATTATAATCCAACAATTTTAAAATTGTATAGTTAATACGAAAACAATGCTATCTTTTAACTTTTATTTGAGGTGTATTAAATTGCATTGAATCAATAATTTGTGTTTGAAGAATGATCAAATACTAAATAACCATCGGTAATAATTGAATCATAGCTTATTTTAGAATCCCAAAACGGTGCAATATCTTTTTCTTTCTGTCCTCTTGATGAATATTTTATTAATCCATTTAACTTTCGCTAATACATCTGTAACCTGCCACATTATAAAAGCCATGATACCTATAATCACTTTTTAATCTTTTGCCTTAATAAAGATTAATAATTAAGAAGAATTTAAACTTCAAATTAAGAAGAATCAACTATATATCTGAAATGGGGTCTACAAGATCAGATTTTATACATAAAATCAATAATTGTCAATAACTTGCTCACCTAATAATATAAAATCATTGTTCTGTGGAGACAAAACCCTAATCTGCATCACTCAATTTCGTCACATCTGCACATGCTGCCTATGACTTTGCCATACAGCTGTGAAGTTTGTTTCTTCTCCAGGAGTTTGTCTGCCCCAAATCACAGCCGTAAGATGTATACGAAGATTTTGATCAGAAAGAAGTCAAAGAGCATCAAGGGCTGTGATGTGTGTTGCACAAAAGTTTACAACAAGGTGGGTTGCTTGGGGTCCCTCATGTTGGATATTGCCTAGAGATTAGTGTGGATTTGAACTTGGTGGGTGTTGACTCATGAACAAGAAAACGACACACCACTTAGAAGAATTTAGCTAACAAACACAACGCAATTTCATATTACACTAATCATTGGAGACCTCCATGAAATTTATAAGATTAAACAATAATGGAAGCTTGTTTGGATTTTAATGGCAGTAACAGAAGCTCGAGGTGGCTTAATTAATTGAAGAAAAATGTGAAAAACCAACATAAGTTTCCACTTAGGTGAGCTCTTACTTATTTGCATACAAAAATTATTTTCTTCATTAGTTTCAAGAGATATCTGTGTCTGTTTTGCTCTTACATATGAGAAACTAACCATGTTTTCTGTGGTATATGTGAAACCCTTGACTACTATGACCAGAATTAATTATTTTAGAAAATAAATTTGAAAAAATTAGATGATCCACCAATAATGAATATATATATATATATCTATATATATATATATATATATATATAAGTCAAGGTCAGTCTATAATAAGAAATAATTCTAACGAAATATTATTTAAGTAATCTGGTAGTTGGAAATTATAATTAATTTCAAAACAAGTGTTGAATTTTGGGCGTAATTAAACAACTGATCAAATAAATTAATAATCAGTATTTATAATTGTTAGTTTAAATAATAATGGTGAACATAGTAATAAGGTCGAGTTGAGTTTTGTGTGGTTGGATTTTGAAGAGAAATGAACCGCACTTCAAGCTGTCAATTCCCTCTGTCATAAGTTGGGGCAGCTTCTCCAATCTCAAACAAAAACATCCTTATACCATCATCTCCAACACATCTTCAAACTATTGTCTTCTCTTCAACTAAATATTTGGACCCTTTATTCTGGAATATCACTTCCTTTAATCTTCTTCTTCCCTTCCCTTTATCATCTTTCATTTTTTTCTTTATTACTTTTTTTCCTTTTTTCTTCTACACACTTCATCACTAAATTCGAGTTCACATTAAACAACATAAAGCATTTTCTTCAAAGAGAAAAGCTGTAGACTATTATAATCTGTAAAAAGTAGTGAGCCATACAATTACATACAGACCCTCTTCTTTAACTTGTATATATACATTACAACATGAACTAATTAATCATAAATTAACCAGTGCTTATTAATTAATTAACCTTTGGTTCTGATGATGGTGATTGTGCCTCTTCCTTGAGTGTGGATTCTTGTAAGGGCCACCACAGCTTTCCCAGAAAGGCCTGGACCGTCAGCAGATACACATGGCCTACAGGCAAAATCCCCAACTGGGTGCCTCACTGGTCTCGTTGGCGGCATCAAAATTCTCTCATTAATATCGTTTAAAGTCACATCGCCTTCTGTCCCTCCCGGCTTCACCAGTGCAAATGGATACACCACTCTTGTTATAACTCTCTTCTTAATTCTCTTGTCATCACCACCAGCAAAAGAAGGAACTGTCGAAAATGGGGTGTCTCCATGATCAAAAAGGGACTTTGTTTTGACCGAGTATTTGTAGGAGGAAGACGATGAGTCAAGAGCTTCAATGGGTGAATACGTAGTCTCTTCTGGCGTTTTGGTTTCTGGGATCATGTTGGCTTCCTCGTTACTCATTCCACTCATTGTGCTCATCAGTTCATCTACAACAAAAAGTATAAATTAATTAAACGAAAAGTTGATCATGAACTAAATTTGGTCAACAGCACCACATGGAAAATTTATTATAACATGTTCAAAATGATTTATAAGTAGAAGAAATAATTAACGTATGTAAATAATATGTACCTGAACCTCCGTTAATGCTAGTTATCTGGCTCATGCAATTACTATAATGCTCAGACTGATGGAGGTCGCAGTTGTAGCTTGAGTTATTCCAGTACGACTGTTAAATTATCAAAACCATGAGCCTTCATCATATTATATAAAAGATAAATTGGTTGTAGAAATTGAAAATGAGGAATTGCGTACCATTTCAAAGTCCTTTGAGCCATTGGTTTCATCATCACTAAACAAAAGCAATTTTCTTCTTTTGGAACGCTCACTGAATTCGACCAATGCGTCTTCCAAATACCCAGTTGAGAAATCTGCAGAGTGATGAAGGGGAGAGAAGAATGAAGTCGCTTCATGATCCATCACTGCACTCACAATGTCCATGAAGTAAGTTATAAAAGAACAAGAACAGTAGAAAGCAAGAGAAAAATAATGAAAGTAAATAGTAAAAACCTAAAGTCGACATGTCTGCATTGAAAACTCCAAGGCTTTGAAGATCCCAACTAAGAGAATTAGAGGTAGCAAAAGCCATGGAGTGAACTTCACACTCACTACTACTGATGTTGTAAGGAAGAATGAAGAGGAAAATGGTTGTATTTATGTAGAAGAAGAGAAATAGAAGTAGATTCAGTCAACGGCAAGAAGGGGGCAAAAGTAAAGGAAAAAAAAATGTTTCTTGGGATATGGAAAAATGGTGTCACTTCTAAAGAAGAAATGGATGTGGGGTTTGGTAAATGGGGGGCTAAATAATGGCAATAGAAATGATTTAATGTTCGGTGGTATCGCATGTAAAGCAAGTTGTGAGAGAAAAACATGCTTACTCGACACAATTCAAATTTCAGCTTTTTCTTTTTCTTCCTTCTCACTTTGTTACCAACCGTTCTTCCTTTTTACAACTTTTTCTTACCATTGTGGGGTCTCATTTCTTATCCTCCACATCTCTTCTTTTTCATTTGATAAATAGGCCCAATAACATTGGGGGTCAAAATGTTATTTTATTAAGTTTTTGTACCTTCATGATTCTTTTATCTGTCAGAAATAATGCTCAAGTCATACTAATCTTTAGCCCCAAAGTTTGTCAAAACTTCTTCTCATCATTTCCTGGGTTCACTGAAGGAATATTAAATGAATGGGTACTTGTTATTTTAACAATTTTCAATAACAACAAAACCTCAATAAGCAATATAATAATTGAAAGTTTTTAATTTAAATTAATTTTGGTATTTAGCTTCATGGGGGCTGATGGGCCCACTTCTGGCATGCTGGTGGCACCTGTTGAAGACCGTTGGAGAAGAAGAATTTGTAATGGGAAGTGGGACCACTCCTTTTATGGGTTTGAATGGTCCAAACTTTGTCACAATGTGTGAAAAAACATTGTTTTTTGTGTGGGATTTTGATTGATGTTTAATCGGACGGCTGTTAAAGGTTTGTGTGACGTGGCTTTTTTGGGGTTTCGTGCCAAATTTGTATGGTTGATATGTAATCTACGGTTGGGCCGGAGTTTTTCAATATTTGTCCACCCAAGTCCATCAAATATAATTAAAATTAGGCCCATGGACAGCTGGATTACACCTTACCAAAAAGAGGGAAGTTGTTAACTGTCAACAGCCCGCAAAAAAAAACGGTAATCGAACCGATTTTTCGGTTCAAGCCATTTACAAACCGAAATCTGTCCGAATTTTGCTTAAACCAATTTACAAACTGATCAAATTTTTAGTTGCAATCGGTTAACCGGTTTGCAAACCGGTTTTTTAATAAATTTCTTTTTGCCTTTTTTTTATACGTTATGATAAAAAGATTTCCTATTGTAATATCAATTTTAATACATTTCAAAATAACTTTTAACACATATTCCGATAATTGGATTTTGTAATTTTCTTTACTATCATCCCACATCCCGTAATGTTTTGATAAAAAAAAAAAATGTCTATAATTTACAGGCCTAGCTATTGATGTATTTTTCTTTCTTTTTTTATTTACACCTAATCTCTAAATGTAAGTAGTTAATCAGATTGAAGCTAAATACATTATAGGTGCCGAACTGCCAATTCCCAAATTAGCTCAAAATTGTGCAAAATCTGGAGGGATTAGGCACGGGAAAATGTATAGTTTCTCCTGTGTGTGGATGAATGAAATTACAATATAAAATAATAATCCTAAAAAATACTGCATACTTAAATAAGAAGTTAATGCAAGAAATTTAGCCTAATCGTCTACCAAGACCAAAGCAGCAGGCAAAGCCTTCTATTTCAGAGACCAGCTCAAGATTTTTCATGACAGAAAGGTGAAGTTTGGGCTGAACGAGACATATCTGTGTTCTTCCTCCCTCCAATGTGCATGTGCATGGATCTACAACAGAAATTGCAAACCAGATACTGAAACTACAAACAATACAAGAGTCAAAACTTTTATAATGGAGCAACAATAGTATGAGATTATAAAGACAGTAACAATTATAACAGAGCGAACCAAGTTCATGGCACCATTTGCTATCAAGTCAACTCAGCCCAAACTGCGCTGTCAAAATCAGGCATACATACGTACACTTTAATAAATCATAAAGGGCGTCAAAAATGTATTTAATGGTTTAATTCGATACATTTTTTAATTAAGACACTGATCAGCCATATATATAATATATGATAAGCCTGTATAAATCATTTCATCAGTCCATCAATCATATATAGCAGTACACTGAAATCTATTCACGAAGCAAATAAGGTATATCTGTTTATCTATTATGGCATCTAATTGACTAATTCTTCTACGGGTTTTGGAATGTGCTGCTTGCCTAAAACAATGTAATGATCTTTTTAAAAATCATAAGCTTTGAATATGATATTTTATTGTTGATGCCCAATATTACACAGTATGAATTCTTAAGGTAATATGATATTTTATTGTTGAAGACATGATATTGACGCTAAAAGTATTTGTATGGGAGACATAAAATTAATAAGAATTGTTTAAACAAATAGCAGATTAGGAAGCAAATAGACAAGTAAATCTTTACTGATATTTATTTATCAAGAGTAAGCAAGAAATATCATACACCAAAACAACAATAAGAAAGATCCCAAGGATGGTGTCCCTGACTGCGTTTAAAGATGCAGCTTGCTGTTCAGGTGTTCCAAACTTCCAAATCTCCAGAGACAAGTCTATTATTTTCCCACCAAATTTGGCTGCACAATTGATTCAAAGTTTAGAAAAACTCAATGATAATATATGTTGCAGTTCAGTTGAGTTCAATTTGTCTTCTTGACAACAGAGGTCCAGACATGATTAAAAAAAATAAGCAAAGAAATCAGATTGTGGTCAGTTTTATTCCGACTTTGATTTTGATCCCTCTCTGTGATAAACATATAGAAAAACGTGGTCATTTCTGATTCTGAAATGACTAACGGGTTTTCATTTGCTGGCATGTTTTATGATTTGTTAAAATTGATTATAGTGGCTCAGATTTTTCTTTTTATGAAGTTTCAGAAGATTTCTTATAAATTCTTAATATCTAACTGAATGCAAATATATGATCTACTACCAATAACTGCAAGACAAATATAAATTATACATATTCTAAATTTGATTAATTGAAGTCATTATTATTTTTCTGAATCTGAGTGCTACTCACGTTTGTGCAAGTGGTGAGCTGCTTATTTTTCTGCTTTATGTCAGAAATTGCAGATCTCATTTCATCACATTTATGTTTATAAAAATATAATCCAACTGAATTTTTCAGAAAATCTATTATAATTTAATTCAACTTAAATTTTGAAAACAAAAAAAGATTCATGAGATCTCTGTGTTTTTTCAATGATTTTGTTGTCCTATCTTAACTCATCAGCACATATTTAAGAACCAAGTAAGTCATCTATAGAGACGGGTTTTCTCAATACCAGGAACTATACAGCTATGACCTGTATCCTCTTCCAAACATCAGTCAAACTTATGATGCACTTCATGAGTTTTAAATTTCTGGTAGTTTGATCCATCAAGAATTAAACATGAAAAAAGGACCAATAAGATGACAAGCAAGTATGAAAAAACTATATGCTCGAAATGCATTTCCATTTAGCTAAAATAAGGTTCAAGAGGAAGGAATGAGTACCAACCTGTGGAAAGAGCATAAGGTTGCTGTAAAGCCAAAACAACTTCCCCGGCTGCTAAGGTTACACCATGGCGCGTGCATAAAGAAGAAGATAGAGAAAACAAGCGAGTTTGAGAGGAGAGGAAGCCAGGACGGGAGGAGGACTGGAGGAGAGACGAGTAAATCTGTAAATGTAATGAAGAAGAAGATAAGTTTGAGTCTTTGAGAGGGCAGCGGTGGCTACTGGAGTTTGAGAGGAGTATGAGTGTGAACTGTGAAGTTAGGGATCCAAACTAATAAAAGAATAAAGATTTTAAAAATTAAAATAATATTATTATATTAGGATTATAGGAAAACCGTTTCAGTTAACTGGTTATAAAATAATATAAACCGGAAAACTGATTTAGTAATTTTTTGAAACAGAAACCGGTTAACCGATTTCTCGGTTCGGTTCGGTTTTCCCTTTTATTTATTTTTTTTTAGCCCTATGTCATTCTTCTATGGACAATTAAATTGGGAATATGGTGAATGTTAATAAACAATAAACTTTTTTTTTTTTTTTTTAATAATTGAATCATATAAATAGATAAAATTTACATAAAATTTATGTAAAATAATTATTCTATTTTTTTTTTATCTGTTTGTATGACTGAGTTATACAACTCAATTATAAGTATAGCATTGCTGGATTAATAAATTATCTTTGTTTTAAATTAAATAATTACTCGCAACTATTAATATAAATATATATGCTTAGGTTGGTGCATATATACGAGAAAAAGAATGTTTGAAAATATGCATCTAAGATGAATAATTTAAGTTAGATAAATTTTGTTAAAAAAAAATATTGTTTCAAATCTTTGGAATTTGTGTCTTTCTGATCTCCTCAAACCCTTGAACTTACAATTTACCTTTTTACAACAAAGGAATATCCATCCTTCACCTACTTTGGAACATAATATCAAAAAATGAGTTTTTTTGTCTGATAATGAAATGGTTACTTCTCATTCCTAGATCAAGCTATTTAAATGTCCTCGTAACCACAATCCAAATCTTATGTTAAAAGTAAAAGCACCAAATTATTAGAGTCCACAATCTTTGACGCAACGGAGTATGATAAGCACTAGATATGCTGAGCGTAGCAGCTTGAATCCACAAAACGAGAAGGCTTCTTGAATTTATAAGAAAACATATAGAATCCACAACAAAAGCTTCTGAAGAAAAGTTTATAAATTTTATATGATCAAAATTATGAATAGCTTGATACATAACAAACCTATTTATAGTAGGTTAACGCTAATACTACGAGGACAAGGAATTAACATAAAAAATAAAACTTAACAAATATAAAATAACTTGACTTTTAATTAAAATAGGAAAGCAACATAGACTCCTAATGATGTCATTTCTGCTCAATATCCTCAAGGTGAAATTGAGCAGAAATGACATCATAGGACTCCCTGGTGGCCTAAAAAACTAGTAGATCCTACCATTGAATTGGAACTTCTTTGGACCCATCGAGGAGAGTGCAAACTGATAAAATTTTCTCTACTTTGGACAATGAGTCCCATGTCTTCAGTGAGGAAGGTAGGAAGTGATTGAATAGGGACTGAATTGTAGAGGTTGTGTTTGAG